TCACAAAAAGCGAAAACATTGATTTCACACAAAATCGACACTTCAAAATGAAACGATAATTTGCGAGATTAAAACTGATGAATTTTCCACAGCTAACAACATTAAAAGCGATGATGAAAAAAACTTCAAAACTTAAAAGTTTCTCCTCGATAGTTTTGCAGAGAAATTCGCAGAGAAACATGCAAATTTGTGCTTAGAAATTAAAATAAACGGTAAAAAAGCTAAAACTAAACAACACAGAACACCAGCACTAATAGAAACTGCAAACACACTCAATTGATCGCCTATTACGCGATAAATCAACATCACTAATTCAGCTAAAATTTACGATAAAAACACTTGCAAATCAAAAAAAAATACGAAAAAATTTGTTTTCACATAAAATTGAGACTGCAATTGAAACGATGATTCGCGATATTGTAAAAACTTTCAAATTGATGATGAAAATAGCTTCGATACTTACAAATTTCTCCTTGTTTGATGCGCAGAGAGAATGATTTTGCTGAGAAATTCAGAGTTTTAACGTGTGTACATGTACGAAGCAATGAGAATGCTTAAGGATTTCAAGTTTCAAGTGTATTTAGAAAGAGAAAAATGGTGGAGAAAAAATAGGCTAAGTTAGGGTCACAATTTATATACATGAGCTCTCAGGAGGACAGAGAAGCAGATGAAGATTTTAGGGAAATTGGGGTTTAAGTAATCAGGTGTAGTGCATGTGCAAATTATTCAGTGTACAACACATTGTGGATCGTTGATTAGTTTTTTTTTCTTTTTCATTTTAGTGTAATAATTATATATTTTTGTGTAATCGACTTGAGGGATGTTGGATGTGTGTAGATTTTCCCTTTGCGGGATTTAAAAATTTGTTTTCGATAGACCTTCCTTCTTATAACGACGCATTATCAAAAGGAGCTAGAAAGAATAGCTAAAAATAACGAAAAGTGGTAAGATGGGCATGGACAATGAAGCAACACGTAACAGATAAAAAAGATGAAGTCAAAGATTTTAAGGCTACAGTTTAATTATAAATTTTGAATTAAATTCTAAATAATTATTTTAAAATGCATGTTCAATTCGAACTTATACTTTAAAATCTATAGTCAAATAGGAGCTAAACATGTACTAAATAATAATAATATTACTATTATACAATTTTGATTTCTCTTGTTGGATGCTTAATTTTTTGCTTATGCCTCTCTTGCCTTTGCTTAATTTATTTTACAACAGTAAAATAGGTGAATAAATCTCTATTCTTGTCATTTTTTTATGTTCTTTTGATTCATCATTTTGTAAATAATAAAAATGTCTAGAGATTTTGCCAAAACACTTGCAAGTATGCATGATATCGTATTGTAAATTCTACATGTAACTCTTAAAATAATATTGAAAAATAACGTAATCGTACTAATATCAAAAGAAATCCCAAATTGAAATGATTTCGAAAAATTTAATTTTTATAAATATAAAATGAAATAATAATTGATAAGATATCATTTTTAGAATATAATCGACCAAATCGAAACATTTATATTTACCCATTTGTCTTAACTTTCTTTCTTAAAATAAATCTTCTGGTTAATACATGAAGTAATCCTACTATCTTCAAAAGAAAGAAAACTACTAATTACTATGACATTCCATATAAATAAAATGATAATAAGGAAATAAAATTATTTGCACGCCAAAAATATAAATGGAATACAACTTTAAATGATAAACTTACTTTTATTTTGTTTACTAGCTAATATACAGTCAAACATTTTTATAACGGTTTGCTAATAACAACATTTTATTAGTCAAAAGATATTCAAATACAAACAAGGTTTGATTATTTGTCCAATTCTCAATATTTAAAGGACCATAATTTTACAATATCATAAATACCAAATCTTACCCTATTTATGGTCTGATTTTTTTCATTCTTCAAATTCCAAGCATATCATAGAATTTTCCCTATATAATAAAGATTATTGTATAGCATAAGCTTCATAGAAAAAATCATTTTGGGCTTCTTTCACTTTTTTTGTTTTTGTTTTCCATTTATCAAAAATGGAATTGAACTTGGAATTCATTTCCACAAAACTCATAAAACCATCCATACCAACACCACAACACCTTAAGAATTACAAGTTATCATTCTTCGATCAGCTCGCGGAGAGGGAACATATGCCATTACTACTTTTCTATCCACATGGTAACAACGATGACAAGTTTGATGAGAAACTCGAAAAATCCCTATCCAGGATTTTGTCTCATGTTTATCCTGCAGCAGGAAGGTTGTCAAGGGATCGATGTTCAATCGATTGCCTTGACCAAGGTGTCAAGTTTACAAAAGCCAAAGTGAATTGTCAATTCAACGATTTCATCAATCAAGTCCAAAATGACCTTAATCTCGCCCTGTTTTTCTTCCCTCGGGATATCCAGGATTTGAAGGACGCGGATTTTGACAGTACTCCACCTATGGTTGTACAAGTGACAAAATTCGAATGTGGTGGTATTGCTATCTCAATTAGTGCATCGCACCCTGTAATGGATGGATTCAGTAATTTCAAATTCGTTTACGAGTGGGCTAAAGTGTGTAAATTTGGGATTCCAGCTGATCAGATTGATTTCATGAGTTTTGATTTTGGTGAGATTCTTCCAGCAAGAGATTTATCGCGTATTTTCCCAAATCGTGTTCATCCAGTAGAATTAGAAGCAAAATTTATAGCTAAGAGATTTTTTATTAATGAACAGACGATATCGTCTCTCAGAGACAAGTTTACAGGGGCGATAGATTCAGGGGAACTATGCTTTAAGCCTTCAAGAGTTGAAATTATTACAGCAATTTTATGGAGGGCTTTAATTCGTGTTTCAGAAGCAAAACACGGATATTTGAGACGTTCATTAGTGTTTTTTCCAGTGAATTTACGTGGAAAAATCTCATTACCTCTAAAAGAAAACGCGTTTGGGAATTATGTAATGGATGCTCCAATACAATTTGTACCCGAGAAGAACAAAATGGAGCTTCATGATTTTGTAACGTTGATTAGGAATTCGGTGCAAAAAGCTATTGATGCTTGTGCTATAGGTTCAGCTGATGACATAATCGCGACTGTGGCTAAGTCATACAAGGAAATTTTCGCGTCAAAAGAATGGGGAACTGACAATGATGAAGTTGACAAATGTATAATTTCGAGTTTGTGTAAGTTTCCGATGAAGGATGCTGATTTTGGTCGAGGAAAACCGAGTTTGATGCATTTTGGATTGAGAAATTTTCATAGTTGTTGGATGTATGATGCAGAATGTGGAAGTATTTGTGTGCAAGTGGACTTGAAGGATAGTTATTTGAGTTTATTTGAATGTGAAAGTGATATCAAGGCTTTTACCAATGGAAATCAAGAGCGAATTCAACTGCAGCCATTACTGTAACCAGAAGAGCGTGAAACTCATTCTCAAGCACTTGCCATGTTTTTTTTTCTTATGAATTTTATAGTAATTCTATGAGTTATATTTACTTATCAATGTTGTTTCTTTGGACCATGATGTTAAGGCATTTGCTAAGTTTTTAGAGTTTTCTATGTTGTTTTTTTGGTCATCTCTAGTTTGAAATTAACCAAGTGTTCCTTACTCCAATATTACTTGTTAAAATATTACTTATAAGATTAGCTCAACCTTGTCTAATTATGAAAAAAAGAATAATGTGAGAGATATTCATGTGTTGGGATTAATAGCCAGATATTTTAATAGATATTTTATTTGCTTATAAAAATTGCTTTAGGGCACATATTTGAATAGATATTTTATTTGTTTTGAAATCTTCGTATATGTATTTCAAGCATAGTGAAAATCATCTACATTCTTTAATATTGCTTTAAAATTAATGTCCTTCATTCTTCAATAATTTGACATTTTTATCCCCTTATCTCAAACAAGTCAAAATTAGGGCTGTGCAAAAATCGAACCGGCCAATAAATCAAATTGAAAAATGTTATTGGCTTATTGATTTTTATTTTTTTAAAATCTACCCCTCTCCTTCGAGCTTCCACCTTTTTTCTCCCTTAGTGACTCAAAGTGAGGAGTGTTTATCATTCAAGCAACTGTCTTTTGTCTAGTTTATTGTTATTGAGTTATTGGATTAACGGGTTTTTAATGATTTTATAGATAAAAAAATGTTATCGGATTATCAGTTCGATTTTGATTTTATTTTATTTTAGTTTTGAATTATTGAGTAAACCGATAACCCGGTAAGAATGTAGTCATTTCCTCATTTACCTCTACATAAATATAGTAAATATTTATTTCAGTATATATATATATATATTTTAATGGTTACTACCTTTAATTTGCCCTTTAGCCTTCAATTCACATTATTGTCCTACTTGTTTTATTTGTATTGCACTTGCACAGTTCTTTTCATTTTCATGGTAGTTAATACTCTTTCTATTTTAATTATGAACATTATGTAAAGTTACAGTATTATCCTGTCGAGCCAAATTATTTGAGAAGCCATATATTTATTTTATGAGCATTTTTATGTTGGTTAAACTGAATCGTTAAAAGATCAAAAATCGATAAACCGAAAACCATATTTTTTTTCTATATAAAGGGGAAGAGATAAGTGCCACAAAATATCTTAGCTTCTTCACTTGGTTGCTTAATCTCTCTTTTGCTATTTCACCACATCTATATACTCATGGCATTTCAAAAAGAAAACATGGAAGTTGAAATCATATCCACAAAATTCATAAAACCATCTTCACCAACTCCAAATCATCTCCAAAATTACAAGTTAGGTTTCTTTGATCAAACAACTGATGAGACACATTTACCTCTTGTTTTTTTTTATCCTCCTACCAACAACATTAATTTTTCAGCTCATGAAGAACAACTTGAGCAATCCTTATCTAGGATTTTAACTCATGTTTACCCTATTTCTGGCAGATTTACCGAGGATAACTCGATATCCTGCCAGGACCAAGGGGTTAAATTTATAAAAGCAAAAGTGAATAGTAAACTCAATGAATTTCTTGAGAAAGCACGGCTTGGCTCTATCCATGAGCCACGCGCACATTGCAATGGATGGTTACTCAACTTTTACTGTTATCAACGAGTGGTCCAAAGTGTGTAGACTTGAGATTCCTGTAGAGAAGATTGATTTCATGAGCTTTAATTTGGTTGATGTTTTCCCATCGAGAGATTTATCGAAGCTTCTCTTGCCTCGTGTTCCTCTAGAAGATCGTGTGGAGTCTAAATTAGTAGCCAAAAGGCTATACATCAACGAAGATTCCATTTCAAGGCTAAGAAAAGAAGTCGGTGGAGACTTATGCACCTTTAAGCCGTCAAGAGTTGAAATGATAATGGCCCTCCTATGGAGGGTTTTAATTCGTGCTTCAGAAAAGAAGCACGGATATCTAAGACGTTCTCTAATGAACATCCCAATAAACTTGCGCACTAGGTTAATTTCTTTACCTCAAGTAGAAAAATCTTTTGGGAATCTTGGAGTTGACGCCCCTTTAAAATTCATACCTGGGGAAAACAAGATGGAGTTGCACAAATTCGTGACATTAAGTCATGACACTGTGAAGGAAACTATTATTACTTGTGACAAGACTTCACCAGAGGAAATAGTGTCCGCGGTGTCAAGTCTATATAATGAAAGTTTTCTAGCACAAGATTGGGGAGGAAGTGACAGGGCCGGCTCTTGCCTATATTAATTTTAGGCATTGGCCTTACGGCCCCCAATTTTTGGGGGCCTCAAATTTTTATAAATAAAAATTATGTATCTTAACCCTATTCAAATAGAAGAAATTAAGGAAATATTGTTTTGGATTCTTACATTTTCTTCGTTAACACTCACATTATTTATCCTTTGTAACTCTTTTTGCACTCTATTTCTTCAAATCTTTGATAGTTAGAGTAATACACTCTCAAAAATATGAATCAATAGTCGAAAAGTGTTGAACAAAGTGCATTACAAATTCTTTTTTTAAAATTTATTTGTTAATTTTCATATTAAAGTAGGTATACCAAGTTATCTAACTTTTTGAATCAAATGCTATGATTACTAACTCTTTATACTTTAAAGTTTATTAACTTATTACTTATAAAATTGTGTTAATAATTCATATAATAATTGTCTCAACAAAAAGATGTTTTTCAATGTGAATTGAATAAAATCTTAACTTAAAACTAATAATTAAAAAAAAAAGTGTTTGAAAAATCATTTATATAAAAGATATTAAGTAGTAATTTATATCTAGAAAATTAGCAAAATAAATAGATATAGATAAAAGTTATATAGATTTTTAGGCCTCTAATAAAAATTTCGCTTTAGGCCACATATTATGTTGAGCCGCCCCTGGGAAGTGATGAAGTTGATAGGTACACAAGTTCAAGTTTATGTAAATTTCCTATACAAGAAGCTGATTTTGGTTGGGGAAAGCCATGTTTGATGCATTTTGGGTCAAGACATGATCAAGTTTGCTGGTTGTATGATGCAGAATGTGGCAATGGGATTTGTGTGCAAGTGGATTTGAAGGAAGACTATATGCATCTATTTGAATGTGACAATGATATCAAGGATTTCTTTCAGTTTTAGAGTTTAGGTCTCTAAGGTTTGGCAATTTTTATTTACTTTTTTGTTATTGTTGTTGTTGTCATTTTGGATTTGGTAATATAATAAAGTTGCATTTGTTATCTTGTTACAACTTAATTTGTTGGAGGGAGGGTATTAGTACTTTTACCCGATAATTAAATTAATGCACGTTTTAATGTATAGGCTTGTCTATATATTTTCAATCATAACATCACTCGACTTTAAGCTAAGATCTCAAAGGGTTTTTTCAGTCTTGTAATGGGGTGACTTATCCTTTTCGAAGCATTGTTGTTTCCAACTTCACTTTTTCTCAAGTTCTTTCTTTCTTTTGACCAAGAGACTCAACCTCAAGTAATTCCCAACATTCATTTCTTATTCAACTCATCGGGAACCCTTTTTATTTCATTATACCACAAAGATGATCAAGGCATTACTTTGCAAAACACTCCTTTTCATTTCCTTTTCTTTTCTCCAATTTTTTTATCTTTGAACGGGTTCCATCTTTTTGCCACAAGAACCAAGGGTGAGTCTTATGCTTCTTTTTCACTTGGAATACATTCTCCTTCTTTATCATACCCCTAACTTAGGCTTTGGCCTAAGTTATATTTTTTTTTGGTAAAATGGAGATAATATATTAATAGAAACTAATATGTATTATTACAAGGGAGTGGAATGGCAACTAGACTGCTAGAGCTATTTTCGGGGAGGCTTTATCATTATTACAATTTACAGGATCGATTAGAGCCCTTTTCAACCGAACAAAAGGAGTTCCTACTTTATCTGCTTCCACCTTACTAAGTACAAACAAAGGTGGAACTGTCCATTGCACAAAAGAGTTTGCTTGTTGCATCTCAGATCCTTCTTAAGCTAATGTGTCTGCTATTTAATTTTCTTTCCAAACTATTCAAACAAACCAATGGTTCAAAATGATTTATAGGTGAGAAGGAAGTAACATTTTTGGGTCAAGAGGTTTTAACAAGGTTGTCAACAAAAGGATTAGGTTTAATTGGTGCACAAGATAGTCATAGGGTGTGTTTGGTTTCCAATTTTCTCATGTTTGGTTGGGTTAAATGTTTTGGAAAATGTTTTTCAAATCAACTTATTTTCCTCAAATTTAAGGAAAATGGCTTCCCTTCAAAACTTAAGGAAAACATTTTCCAAAACTCTCTTTCAACTTCAAATTACAATTACTTTTTTGTTGAAAAAATCAATTTATTTTGTCCCTACCCTCAAACCAGTCCCCCACCCCCCAAAAAAAAAATTAAGTTTGTTTTTAAAAAATATATTCAACTTCAAAATTTTATTTTTTCACTCCAACCCTCGACCCACCCCC